TATATATTATACATTCACTCTGTCTGAACAAATCAGATACGGTTACCGTATCTGAAACACGGTATTGCAAAAACTCATTATCTTTTTAACCCATAAACGACACAAAAAATTCCTTTTAAGGCTCCTGGTCCCTGAGCCGAGAACTCTGCGTTGACGGTATAGCGCCGTACCGTCGCGGCAGAAATAAGAACTCTCTCCTCTCACTCTCTCCAATGGAGAATTCTGTCTTGTGACATGTTGTCAACCTTATTTTAAGTTGCGGTATATTTCTTTATTATTCGCTCTGTACTTGTGCTCTAACGTTTAACGTATTCGTGAAACTCGTAAAATTGACCGTATGGTAAGATTTGCAAGAAATATATATACGGAAGGAACATTCACCACTCCTTTCGATAGTCGTCAAACGGCTTGTTTTCCGTATGTTTAGGCTTTGTTTTATGGCTGTTTGTTTATTGTCGAGGGAAAAGGATAGTATCCGGTCAATTTTTGAAGTGTGCTGAAACGATCTGTCGTGATTTTTTATTGAAATGTCTTTTTATTTCGGAAAATACCGCAACTTAAAATTAGGTGTTTTCCTCGCCTCGATAGTAAGAATCCAATATGGCCGCGGTGACTACCCAGGAGCCTTAAGGGGATGCTGGAGCCGTCTGTTTTACCGGCATTTTTTGTCGGCACGTAGCGTCGTATTAATTTGACAGAATTAAAAATCCTTCTCCAGAATTGCAGTACATACATTAATGATTCGGGGAAACTCCGATTTTATATAGAAAACGAGAAAAAATTACGGAAGTACAGATTTCCTTATCCTACTCTTATCCCAATATGGCGTCTCGAGTTGCGGCGAGCTGTCAGCTCGTCACAAGATGTATTTCATATAAGAGATATACCATTGGTACGAACGCGAAAACAAGTTTCCCCGAATTGCACAACAAGAAAAACATCGATAAGCCCCCCAAATCAAGATTTGGAAGCGTAATATAAAAGTATAATGTCGGTGTGCATCGTGCGTATGTGTGTGTGCAATGTAGCGTGCTATCCTTGTCTATATCTTTGTCTATACAAGGACAGATATAGTTCGCCGGTCTTCTTTACCGACGCCGATCGAGTTCGGCTACGGCTCCAGCATCCCCTTAAGGGCTGAAAGTCCTAACAACATACTTAATTAATTTTGATTGCGATTAAAACTTCTCCGATACGTCATATATCGATAATTATAATATGCCAAAATACACTAAAAGCTCATTTTTGCAACTTTAACTGCAAATATCTCAAAATTGTGACGTGATAGAGTAATTTGGTAAACGGGATCATTTTCTGCGTTCAAAAAACTATCGAATGCTGCAAGGTTTGTTCTTGTGCTTTTTTTGTTGTTGTATGTACACAGTGTAATAACCGGAATGTTGAATATATCTCTTCCACGAAGAGTCTCTTATTGATCTAGATCTTCAGCATTCTTATTCAATTGTATTACGCGCCTCTTCCTCGAGATCACATTGGCTGCGTTTCGCTATTCACTCGCAGTACTGGCAGCACTGTAAATCCGTTCCAATATACGCGGCAGTAAGCTGTCAAAGCGTTTTCGTGTTCATATGACGTCATAGATTTTGTCGTCACTTCCTACTTTCATTACTGTGGCTCGCGAGGTGAGGCATTCGCAGTAAGAACATGGCGGCTATGGCGGCACCTTTGAAAAAATTGGTCCTTACCTATGTGAACCTTGCACCCGACTTTCGAAAAATTAATTTTTTTACGGAAAACGTTAGCATTTGGTTTGTAGTTGTTTGTAGTAACAAAAATTTCGTTTGTAGTTTAATACATTAAAAATTATAAACATTTAAAAAATTACTCGCACCCCACTTTGAGATAACTGAAATCCGCTTGCGCCATCTTCTTCAAAATTGTTTGTAGTTGTTTGTAGTGCTTTTCTTTTCGTTTGTAGTTGCACTGTTCAAAAGTTTTTATATTTTTGCAATAAACAAAAAGAGTAACTTTGCCAATTTTGGAGATATCTCAAATCAACTTGCGCCATCTTTTTCAGAATCATTTGTAGTGCTTTTCTTTTTGTTTATAGTTGCACCATTCAAAAGTAATTATATTTTTGCAATAAACAAAAAGTGTAACTTTGCCAACTTTGAAGATATCTCAAATCCGCTTGCGCCATCTTCTTCGGATTCGTTTGTAGTTGTTTGTAGTGCTCTTCTTTTTGTTTGTAGTTGCACTGTTAAAAGTTATTATATTTTTGCAATAAACAAAAAGAGTAACTTTGCCAATTTTGGAGATATCTTAAATCCGCTTGCGCCATCTTTTTCAGAATTATTTGTAGGTGTTTATAGTGCTTTTCTTTTTGTTTATAGTTGCACCATTCAAAAGTTATTATATTTTTGCAATAAACAAAAAGTGTAACTTTGCCAATTTTGGCGATATCTCAAATCCGCTTGTGCCATCTTTTTCAGAAACGTTTGTAGTTGTTTGTAGTGCTTTTCTTTTCGTTTATAGTTGCACTGTTCAAAAGTTATTATATTTTTGCAATAAACAAAAAAAGATAATTTTGAGAGACAATTTTGGAGATATTTTAAACGAAACGGAAAACTATTACAAACAACTACAAACAATTCTACATCGATTCTACATTCTAGTCGCGTAATTAGTTTTAAAATATTTCCAAAATTGGCAAAGTTAGACTTCTGGTATATTGCAAAAATATTATAACTAGATATATATAGAACGGTGCAAATACAAACAAAAAAAAAGCACTACAAACAACTACAAATGATTCTGAAGAAGATGGCGCAAGCAGATTTGAGATATCTCCAAAATTGGCAAAGTTACACTTTTTGTTTATTACAAAAATATAATAACTTTTGAATAGTGCAACTATAAACAAAAAGAAAAGCACTACAAACAACTACAAATGATTCTGAAGAAGATGGCGCAAGCGGATTTGAGATATCTCCAAAATTGGTAAAGTTACTCTTTTTGTTTATTGCAAAAATATAATAACTTTTGAATGGTTCAACTATAAACAAAAAAAAAGCACTACAAATGATTCTGAAAAAGATGGCGCAAGCGGATTTGAGATATCTCCAAAATTGGTAAAGTTACTCTTTTTGTTTATTGCAAAAATATAATAACTTTTGAATGGTGCAACTATAAACAAAAAGAAAAGCACTACAAACAACTACAAATGATTCTAAAGAATAAGATGGCGCAAACGGATTTGAGATATCTCAAAGTGGAGTGCGAGTAATTTTTTTAATTTTTATCATTTTTAATGTATTAAACTACAAACAAAATTTTTGTTACTACAAACAACTACAAACAAAATGCTAACGTTTTCTGTAAAAAAATTAATTTTTCGGAAGTCGGGTGCCAGGTTCACATAGGTTTGGTCCTTGTGGACCTGGAAGGCAACAACGAGAAATATACAGTAATTGTTAATTACGAAGATGCGGAAAAAGCCCGAAAAGATTACTACTACTACTACTAAATTAATATAATTAATATAATAATAATTAATTTCGATATTTTTATAAATCTGAAAACTGTTATTTATTTTATAGACATGACTTTTGCAACATTATTGTTTAAGTACAAGATTCTTTTTTATATATTTAGAATAGGTGCTCCTATATCGTGTCACGTCGTGTCTAAGATAGGTTAAGATAGGTTATATTTCTTTCTTATACGGGTGCGTTTCGACATTCACTGGCAGTACCGGCAGTACTGTGTCGTCGTTCCGTTATTCCAGCCTGAAAGTAACAGCAGCAATATAGAAACGCTCCTGCAGTTCTACTCAATGACGTCATATCGTCAGTACTTACAGTGAATATCGAAACACAGCCAATTCTTTACTTTTATACCATGAACGCGTACTTTTACACATGAGCGCGCGAAGCGCTCTTACATATGGCCAGCTGCGATCAGACATAACACGGATGAAACGATGCTAAAAAATAAAAAGACGTTTGGCTGGGGAGGGAAAGCTCGTAATTTTCGTTTTACAATTTCACTCCACTTTGCGCCTGTCTACGGAGAGATCGTGAGATATACAGTGTCTCTTTTATTTTCGCGATTTTCCCGCCCCTCCCCTCCTTCCAAACATGTTTCATTGCAATTAATTCCATAATTATTGGAATTGCAAAAATTAAAAAAAAACGTGAGCAAGAAAATATTTGTGCGTCAAACAACATAATTTTATGAAAACTGGAAATATAGCAAGTTTTACGATATCTGGAAGATCAAGTAAGATGTTCAGGTCGAAGACAGTATTTCACTCACATTTTTTTCTGCAATTCGTTGCTATTTATTTTCTTAAAAATAATAATTACAAAAGGACGCTGTTGGCAATATTTAAAATTAAGTATTACGCAAGCTCTGCAATCGTCCGAAAGAAATTATCTCCCTTTAATCTATGTACAATTCGTAGGAACATTATCGTACAATATTTCTCTGCCGCCGAAGAGTGAGCCTGGACCGAAGAACACTCCCAGAGCGAGAAACAGTCCTAGATCGACCCTCCCCCTCTCAGTCTCCTTGCGAGATCGGGGAACCGCGATCGCGTTTCGACAAGGCCTTCCCCTTGCCCTTGGATTTGGTCTCCCGTTTCCGGCTGATCGACGAGGTTGACGTGGTCGAGGCAGAGTCGGCTGGACTGGAGTGACTCGAACCTTCCCGATCCCACCTCGTCAGCGTGTCCCGCAGATTCTGACCGTCGTTTTCCTCATATGTGTCTACGTCGACATGCAGACTGTCCTGGCCGTTGGACTCTAGATTGGCGCGTATCTCCCTACGCTGTTCGTCGGTGTGTTGAGGACAGCGTACCGATCTAGTGCACAACTTTTTCGTGTGTTCGGACACAACGCCGCAGATCTGCGTAAGCAACGCCCGTTTGTCCACAAGCGACATGTTCTCGTAGTTCGACGGCGAGCTCTCGTTGCTGCTGTGCACGTTATGTTCACCGCCGCCGCCGCCGCCGATAACGGCGTTCTCGCCGTTCCTCTGTGAGCCGCTACCACCGGCGTTGGCGCCAGCACTGCCCTGTTGCTTCTGCTGCTTGCTCAAACGCTTGTTTACACCGTTGCGGTCCTTGCGAGGACGTTTGCGCTTATTGCCGCCGTCGTTGGTCAGGCTCCAGTCGACGTCGTCATCGTCGTCGCTCAACACACCGCCGTAGTTGTTCATGTCCTTGGAGTTGTTTGCGATGCGAAGCGATGCGATACGTGAGCTGTTTCTACCCATGCCCATACATTTTGCCAGATGAGTAGCAAATCTGCAGGCCGCCACACCACGTTCGCAATTCGGACAATTGCATTCCTGAGATTTCTTCATTGGGTGCTGTCCGAACACGTCTAAGCCAGGCGAATCTAAAACAGAGAACAAGAAATTTTCAAAAAATTCCTCCCCTGTCTGTAGAATTATAAATAACCCATCTTCTCTCAATTGCTGCAATCGAATAAAACTCTCCTTAAACCGAAAGTTTGTTACGTTTCCACGTACCGACAATAGCATAAGACTTGTCATCGGGAATGCCTTCTTCGATATCGGAACTGCCAGTCTTAGTTGTGCGGTGCACATCGAAAACGAAACCCATCAGAACCTCGTCTAACAAATCCTCGTAAATCTCCTTTGTAGCTGCTTCGACGTTCTCCGGCTTGCTCATAAAATCCATGAAACACATGTTCAGCTCCTGAATCCTTTCCTCGGTTACGGACATCCTGGTTTAAGGATTAATTTATTTCTATCTAGATTCAAAATAGAAAAATGTAGGCAATTAGCAATTGATCAAGGTATCAATTTGACCAAAACAGTTTCCGATTATTCATCAAAGTAAATTAGGAGTATTGATATTTATGAAGATTAATAGCAAATTCATGGGTTTTAAACAATCATATATTCAAAGTCGATTATTTAAATTTTAATATATAAAATTCAAACATGATAGATAAATTTACAGATAAATTTTACTCTAAGCTTAGTAGTTAATAATAATTAAGAAATTAAATTAATTCTTCCCGCAGAAGGATTGCTGTGGAAACTCGTCGAAGCGTCGGTCGCACAAAATATCATTAAAATACTTGATGACACTTGCGGGACACCCGGTGTAGCATAGACAGGGGCTCTAACCTAAAAAGGCAAGCAATGACGAATCGACGAGTTGAAGTAATCCAGGTGAGTACCGTCAGAGCGAAACGAGAGCAAGCAAGGACATTCTTCGTTTTTTCGGTTTTCCACGAGGAAAAAGTGCGGATTGCGGTCACCGCGGATACCCGACACCAATATTCGGATATCCGCTCGGTCTTGATCACAGACGACACGACACCTGCGCGACGACATGCGCGTCCGGTCATCACGTGTTTTTGGCGGAGAAGCGTATATATATATATATATATATGGGCTGCGTTCCGATATTCACTGCAAGTACTGAAAATCTCTAGTTTACGTAACGTACATACACTAGATTTTCAGTACTGACAGTGATTGGCTGAGTTCAGCCGAACCTCTGCTTAAGCGAAGCGAAAGGTAGCAACTGAATGTGATTGGTTCTTACCTTTGGATCCAACCAATTACACTTAATTGCTACTTTTTGCTTCGCTTAGCAGAGGTTCGGCTGAACGCAGCCAATATCGGAACGCAGCCATGGTAATTATACAGTTTATGGACCTCACCTCAAATATCGATGAAATTATGCTCAATCGACGCGTTTTTGCACGAAACAAAAGAATCTGGCAGAAAAAAGTGTCGCTCTGCTCCGCGATGCGAGATATTAACGTTAAACTGGATTCAGACAGGACGCATCAAGCGTCAAGCAACAAGCAGCAACCCAATCAGCGAGGTGATATAAGCAGTGGCGTATATATCGCCTCGCTGATTGGCTGCTGCTCGCTGCTTGACGCGTTCTGTCTTGAATCCAGCTTTAGTCCACTCGGTTATTCTTCGAGCTCAAGGAGAATAATCGACTGTGATTGGTTTATTTTCTTACGGCCTTACGATTATTACTAAAACTATGTTACGTGCAATAGCCTTAAGCGGGGAGCACACACTTCTGCATAACGCATAATGCGTAAGCATAAGAAAATTGATTGGTCCATACACATGTGTATAAGGAAATAGACTAAAGCCTATCGCACACAAAATGCATAGCTTAGCATAAGCGTAGCATAAGACCGCTGGACCAATGAGCATCTTATGTAAATCAATATGGCGACTTTATGCTGGATGTTCATTGGTTTAGCGGTCTTATGCTATGCTTATGCTAAGCTATGCATTTTGTGTGCGATGGCCTTAATCCGTTTCTTTATGCATAGGTGCATAACCATATGCATAAAGAAACGGATTGGTCTATTTCCTTATGCACATGCATGTGGACCAATCAATTCTCTTATGTTTGCTATCAATTTGCTTATGTTTATGGGCTTATGCAAGTTTGTGTGGATATAGCTTAAAGCGGGGAGCACACACTTTTGCACAACGCATAATGCGTAAGCATAATAAAATAGATTGGTCTATTTTCTTATGCACATGTGTATGGACCAATCAATTTTTTTATGCTTACGCATTATGCGTTATGCAGAAGTGTGTGCTCCCCGCAGGGCCCGGACACTCACTTCTGCACAACGCATAATGCGTAAGCATAAAAAAATTGATTGGTCCATACACATGTGCATAAGGAAATAGACCAATCAGTTTTCTTATGCTTACGCATTATGCGTTATGCAAAAGTGTGCTCCCCGCTTTTTCAACTAGCAGTTGCCATCGTTTGCGACGTATTGTAGAACCGGGTGAAACTAAGGGCCAAAGCACATATGACAGTCGTAGTCGTGGACGTAAGTAACGCACAAGCTTTGGCGTATCTTGATTTGTCAGGTCGAGGACTACGACCGTCGTATATCGCTACGCCATGTTATGTGCTTTGGCCCTAATGCTGGGTCTACAATGCGAGTCGCAAAGTCGTGAGTCGCAAGAATTGTCCAATCACAATTGAATTTGAGGAGAATAATCGACTCTGATTGATCAATTCTTACGACTCAAGACTTTACGACTCGCATTGTAGACCTAGCATTATGGCGTTTTCGATTTACTACTCGACCCGACTCGGGTCGCATCAATGGACGTGGAATACATACATAGATATGTATGTATTCCACGTCAATGATGCTAGAGTCCTGTATACATGATGCGACCCGAGTCGGTTTGAGTCGCAAATCGAAAACGGTATTGGCCTAGTTTACACCGATCTCTTGATACGCGTATCAAATAGTATATTTGAACTGATCAGCCAATAATCAGACTTATTTACTAGTTATTTACTATTTAATACGCGTATCAAGTGATCGATGTAAACTAGGTCATTAAATAGAAAACGAATGCACCTCGTTTCTCTCGGAAGGACTAGTGGACTAGAGTCGAAGGACAGATTTGAGCACCACTGAAGTGACTGAAGGCACTGAAGTCGAAGTCGCGTGGGTCGCGTGCGCGACCCAATAGCGAACGAACAGACCAAAAGCAACTGAAAGCAACAAATTGCTGCTTGTTGCGCATCGTCAGTTCTTTGCTTCAACCGCGATTGAGCTTTATTAACGTTTGATTTTCATCAACAAAGATTGTTCCGCGTCATCTTTAGCAGTGGTATAATAACGCGGACGAGATCGCTTGAACAAGAACAAAAGGAGAGAGAAAGAGAAAGTACGGAGTATGGCAGACGCGTGAAAGACGATGACGACGCGCCCCTTGACGTAGGCCATTTTGCGTGGCATCGGGACTGATGAAAGGGCTTGTTCCTTCAGGGGCAAACGTACTCTTGCTCACTCACTTTTTCTTTCCCAGGTACATGTCTGCGTGGATCTCTCGCATGAGATTGTCCCTTTTGCACTCTTCTGGTAGGTTTATCGCCTACTAAAGTGCGAGCGACTGAAATTCAGAACGTTGCGTATAGTTTGCAGATGTCCATAATGCGGAACGGAAGCAGCAAGTAAGGAAAATCGTGGTCTGTCCAGAGAGAAGACCAACCTCTCTTTTGTATAGATAATTAAGGAAACGTCCTGGAAGTAGAAAACAGTACGTGACGCAATGGCAGAGGCGACAGAGAAGATAGGTGAGTAAAGTTGGTTTAGGCTCCTCTTTACAAGTAGGGCAGTTGTGTGTCTGAAATCATATAAGTCAATTTTATTCGATTTAATACATGTCAGTAGAGATAATTTATTAATACAGTAATAGTTTTATATGTATAATTTATATTTAGAAATATTAATTCTTCTCTTATAAGTGATTTGAGATTTTTTTTTTCTACAACTGTAACACCCTGTATTTGAAAACGAATCTTGCAGAGATCCTAAAAATTGAGGAGTATACTGACAATGTGCTAATTGAGGATGGAACCACAGAGATCTTATTTGGTAATTTGATCATTCAGGAGTAAAATATTTAATACTATGATGATTCTAATTTAAAACAATATGAATATCCTATTTTTTTGCAGATGGGGACATCTCACAACCTATAGTAGTGGCCAGTAGAACATCTACTGATAATGAGAAAGGTAATTTATATTTTGTACGTATGTATATTAAAGATTTCTCAAAACTTATATACCATTGTATGATATACAGGGTGTTTCCTAAATAAGTAAAAAAAATTGAAGGGGATATTCCATGACTTATTTTAGGAAGAAAAGATCCTATAAACATTTGTCCTAAATTGCTTTGTTTTCAAAAGGGTGTTAAAATTGTGAAAAATATGTGAAAATTTTGAAAACCTGGGAAACGTTTAAAGATATTATTCAAAGAACCTCGCCCAAAATGAGCTATTGGCGCACAACATTAAATCATATGCCATTTTGTAGGTATTATTGTGTACATTATTAGAAAAATAAGTTTTAAGTTCTGGGACGGTGGGTGGAAAAAATTATGGCAGAAAATGATATAAAAATATCTTCAATATGCTTCGATGGTAGTTTGATTCTTACGTTTAAGTAAATGTTTTTTTTTCTGCCAAAAAGTGCAATCCAGCCGCAGGCCTGAGTCTGAGCTGAACAAATCAATAGTTTGTTCGTCGCCATTTATCAACGTCAAAGTGTCCTGGGCGCAAAGAAGTCTGGACGATATTATAAAATATATATTATTTGATATAAAATTAGTGATATAATATTTAAGTTAAATAATGTAAAGTTTTTAGTGCCAATTAGCTAATGTTACATATAGTAATATGCTAAATTCACATCCTAGAAAGTATTTCCCTATGAGACTTGAGACTGTTATTATTTCTGTCAACCTCCTTTACAAATGCATATAGAAGTCAAGTATGTGCGTTCATGACCCAAAACACCTTAATAAAATGACCGAGGTTTTTTGGTATGCGCACATGTGTTAAAAATCATTTTCCAGCATCAATATTGACCAGTATTGATACACATGATTGTATTTACAGCTTTTAATTTCAATTTTTTACCTTATCTCGAAAGCGGTGCATTATTAAAAAAAAAAAAAAAAATAGAGGCAATTTTTGTAGAGTCTCGGTTCGGGAACTTCAAAAAATTGTTAAACTTAGAAGAAAAACATTGACGTACCATTTTCTCATTAAAAAGACTTAATATGATTACCCATACGTATGCTCCTGGTGGATTTCAAAATGTTTTATCGGTACTGAAAAATGGTTCTTAATACCACATGTAAGTATACTAATTTTGAATAAAATATCTTTAAAGGTTTTCCAGATTTTCGAAATTTTCATTTTCTTTTTCACAATCTTTGACACCCTGTATTTTGAAAACGAAGTAGTTTAGGGCATATATTTATGGGACCTCTTCTTTTCAAAATAAGCTGTAAAATATCCTCTTCAATTTTTGTACTTACTTAGGAAATACCTTGTATATCTTGATAAGATATCTTTGTTATTAAATTTTTACAATTGCATAATTTTTAAAACTAGATTTTAACATCTTAGCTGCGTTTGCTTTGGACGCTTACGTGATGTATCTTTATTGCTTATTATATGTTGAAGAAAGATAGAATAATACTTTCAGTACAAAAGCATCCAAAGCGAACACAGCCCTTGTGTGTATGTTTTTAAATATATTCGCGTAACGTTTGCAAGTTTATATATAATAGTATAATTTTGATGCTTTACTTTATCATTTTGTTTTGTTCGTCACATAGATATGTATAGATAAAGCATTGTCCCAGCTTGTAGAGGTCCTCCGCTTGCTAAGATAACAATAACTCAAGATAATTTTGATAGAGGGGATATACATTTTTATCTCTCGTGCATTCTCCTGGCGACCATAACAAGGACTGCGCAGAACGAACGGCCGCTAGGACAAATATACAACTGTGCATCCGCGAGGAATGAAAATATACTCCCTTGTCCTACTTATTTTACAATTAGCATAGGCAAAAGCAAGATAGTGCTTTATCTATATATAATGTATTTATGGTTTGCTGTGTTATCGTTTATTTTATTTTGTTAACAGATGATTTGGTTATTTCAATTATAACTGATTATCAATGTGTGACATGTCACCGTGTTTTCCAGTCAAAGGATGTAAGTTGTAATTCTATTTTTCTTGTTCTTTTTTTAGTTTAAGTTTTATACATATCCATCCCGCTCTCATGGTTTTCGTTTCTATTAATGATTTCTATTTCTTATAATTCTGAGATAGATGTTGCAGAAACATGTAGACATGTGCAGAGAGGAAGATGACTCGACTAATATCATGGGACTTGATAATATAACCAGTTATGATTCAGAAGAAGAGGATGAGGATGAGGATGATCCTCTAGTAAATTTAAGTGCTGAAGGTATGTGGCTATGTATTGAACAAGAGTGTCTGTTCGTGCTCACGTCACAGAGAATTTCACAGTCTTGACTGTATTCCTAGATTCGGATTCTAAGGGTCAAAAAAACAATAATGAAAAACCTGTCATCAAGCCCGTGCCCGAAACGCAGTGTCATTGCTGCGCGGAAGACTTAAAGACGGCACATAGCGGCGGAGAGTATAAGTGTTTAAATTGCGATCTCAGTTTCAAGAAAAGGGCGTCTCTGGAAAGACATGTTATAGTCATACATTGGAAGTGCGATTCATGCACATGTAACGAATGCGGTTCTTCCTTTCGTGACAAGAAAGCTTTGAATAAGCATCGCTATACGACACATGGAGATCGCAAAATTTTTAAGTATGTTTATATGCACACATGCAATACTTATAAAATAGTTTCCCCAATTATTGCCGTAATTAATTACACTGATGGTCTACAACAAAAATGCTTCGGAAACGAAATCAGCTATCTTTACTAATTTGGGGTCATTTAATCCGAATATATTAGTGAAAATTTTTAATTAGCTCTAGTTTCGATGATAGAGGGTTAAAATTCCAAAAACCGCTTTTTTGACAATTTTTTGATCGACTGTACTTTTTCAACAAAACATGATAAACAATTCAGAACGTTTCAAAAGAAAGCTCATATCTTCTAGTTTATCATGAAAAAATTGAAATTTTTGCAAATATAATATTTGCATTCCTGGGGTAATTTTTAATTGTATTTAGGTGTTTGTGTATACGTGTCTGCCTGTCTATATCCATTGCAATTTCCTAATGGACATTGCAATTTTAGTATCAGATTCGTATTCGGAGACCTCAAAAATCGCTTATTTTACATGTATAAATCTCATTTAGACACTTGATAGGTTACTACTTCTGACTATAACGGGGTTCATTTTTAGGGGTAGTTTGAAAAAGTTTTAAGTTGTAGCATGGGCAAAAATTTTTTTTTTTAATATTGTCAAAATGCCTTGTGAACGACATGAATGGCTAACACTATCCGTTAAGGTTAGGAAATTGCAGTTGATATAGACAGGTACACAAGTGTACATACATAAACCTGCAAATAAAATTAATCCTTTCGCGACGGTGGAGCTGGCCGCCACTACATTACCGCTATATGGAAAAACGGGCCGCAAGTGTTCATTATACGGACGGATAGAGTCCGCGATGAGTTGGCGCAGAATTTGCTTTTATTTATCAAACAATATTATCTTTGTAAAATTTACTTAATAAGAGATAAATAATTGTTGTTACACACACAATGAGTCGGGCACTTATTTGTGGCAAGCAGAGATTACTACACAGAATCAGTCTCGCGGGCGGTCACTATAGTGGCCATTCTTCGCGAAAGGGTTAAAAATCACCCCAGGAATGCAAGTTTTACATTTTCAAAAATTTCAATTTTGTCTTGATAAAGTAGAAGATATAAGCTTTCTTTTAAGATAATTCCGAATTATTTATTATATTTCGTTGAAAAGTTACAGTTGATAAAAAATAGCCAAAGAAGGTTTTTGGGGATTTCAACCCCCTATATCATCGAAACTAGAGCTAATTAAAAATTTTTCACTAACATTCGGATTCAGCGCCCTCAAATTAGTAAAGATTAGCTGATTTCACTTCCGAAGCAGAAAATGAGTTCGTAGACCAGTGTATATGATATACAACACTAAATTGACTTAAGTTATTTTTATCTTGATGTAAAAATATCGCTATAAAATTTTGACTTTATAATAGTTTGTCACATTTTCTATTTATTTTGCTTTTTTTATTAATTACTTTGCGATTTTTATTTTTACATATTTTTACTTTAGATGTGAGCCTTGCGATACTTACTTCTCCCGGAGCTATCACTTAAATCGGCACATAATGCAATCTGGCTGTCACGGTAACATACTTAATACATTCAGTTGTCAAGTAAGTATAATATTTATCCATTCATTCTTTAAAATATTAAGGATTCTGGAATTATAATGATCGAATGAATAATGTTGTAGGTGTGCAAGAAAGATTTTACGCGTAAAGATAACCTACGGGAACACTTGCGTACTCACGCAGGAACGCCTCAGAGACAAAAAAAAAAGTGTAAATATTGCCCGAAGGAATTCTTTACGAACCAACAGTTGTTAGTACATGAACGCATGCACACGGGAGAGCGACCAGTCCAATGCGATTTATGTCCGAAGACATTCCTGTCGCCACTTGCGCTGAAAAAGCATCGTCGTGTACATACCGGAGAAAAGCCGTTTGAGTGTAAATACGTAAGTATTTTTTACCGACACATTTACGTGTATTTATGCAACTCCTTAATATTACGTATTTCTCTCATCAAACGATAATTAAGAAATAATAACACTAATTTTTATCGCGTCGTTTCATATTACAAGCTAGCGTTATGGATGGAAAAAATATTGCCGTAAGTTTTTAATCGTACATAAACTATATTCAATTAAGGTGATGCTGGAGTCGTCTGTATAACCGACAAAATTACCTTCTTCTGTTATTGACTTATATCTGTCCTTGTGTAGACAAGGATATAAACAAGGATAGCACCTATATATTGCACGCCTACACACGCACAAATTGTCATACACACTGTACTTTTATATTAGACTTCTAATTCTCGATTTGGATGGTTTTAGTGGAGGCAAATTAGGTTTTTATCTCGGAACCGGTTAAAACTACTCGGATTTGAACGTTTTTTTTTAAATGTAGGTAATTAAAAACACTACAATGTTTATGGGTTAAAAATTGACGCTAATTGTTTATTTAATAAATTTTTATTTAATAATTATTTAATAAATTAAAGAATTTGTTGCTCGGCTCTTTTTGGTCTAAAAATATTCTATGGACCGTGCCCTATCAGAATATGCAACTTAGGATTTTGTTGTTCGCTCCTAACTGCAAATAAACAAATTAGATATCTCCGCGTCGACCGTTATCTACGACTTCGATGGCTAAAAACTAATTAAAAGAATTTGTTGCGCTCGGGTTTTTTTGTTATTTAAATATTCTATGGACCGTGCCCTATCAGAATATGCAACTTACGATTTTATTGCTCGCTCCTAACTGCAAATAAACAAATTATTTATAGTGGAGGCAAATTAGATTTTTATCTCGGAACCGGTTAAAACTACTCGGATTTAACCGTTTTTTTTAAATGTAGGTAATTAAAAACAATCATACGTTGCATATTCTGGTAGGGCACGGTCCATAGAATATTTAAATAACAAAAAGACCCGAGCAACAAATTTTTTTAGTTAGTTTTTAACCATCGAAGTCGTAGGTAACGGTTGACGCGGAGATAAATAATTTGTTTATTTGCAGTTAGGGACGAGCAACAAAATCGTAATATTGCATATTCTGATAGGGCACGGTCCATAGAATATTTAAATAACAAAAAGACCCGAGCAACAAATTCTTTTAGTTAGTTTTTAGCCATCGAAGTCATAGGTAACGGTCGACGCGGAAATAAATAATTTGTTTATTTGCAGTTAGGGGCGAGCAACAAAATCGTAAGTTGCATATTCTGATAGGGCACGGTCCATAGAATATTTTAAGACTAAAAAGAGCCGAGCAACAAATTATTTAATTTATTAAATAATTATTAAATAAAAATTTATTAAATAAACAATTAGCGTCAATTTTTAACTTATAAACATTGTAGTGTTTTTAATTACCTACATTTAAAAAAAAAACGTTCAAATCCAAGTAGTTTTAACCGGTTCCGAGATAACGCGCTTTTTTGGTCTAATTTGCCTCCACTATTTATTGATGTTTTTCTTGTTGTGCAATTCAGGGAAACTCGTTTTCACGTTCGTATCAATGGTATATCTTTTATATGAAGCATATCTTGTGATGAGTTGACAGCGATCGCTGTAACTCGAGACGCTATATTAGGATAAAAGTAGGTAAGGAAATCTGTAATTCCGTAATTTTTTCTCATTTTGTAAATAAAATCAGAGTTTCCCTGAATCAATTAATGCATGTACTGCAATTATGTACAAGCATTTTTAATTCTGTCATTTCTATGTTATCGACCTATATATGTTCTTATATATATAGACAAGGATATATAGCCCAGTCGATAGAGCCCGAAAAAGCCGCTGAAATGGAATTAAGGGGGGAGACTCATGACTGACCCTTTTTTTGATAATTTTTTATAAAGAACTGAGAGTATTTATTGAATCCTAATAAAATACATGATAATGTTGATGATCAAATGTACAGAAAAAATTTTTTTATAGTAAAAAAAATAGAAAATGGCTGCAGCTGCTGGAAGTTGTCGTCTAGATTTTGCGCGGGAGAATGCCCAGGTCCTTGTAATGAACTGAAATCAACGAACCAAAATTTTTTCGTTAAATTATGATTCTCCGATGCGCATAAACCTAAATTTAGCAAAAAAAATTTTGAAAAATGGAGGACGTTTTAAAAAAATTTTACGATTTTTTTTTACAAACAAGTGGCCAAAAATAATATTTATTATAAAAATTTTAATGTATATTTATTATAGGTTCATGCTCATGCCAATAAGTTGACAGATGTCAGTGCAAAATTCCAAGTCAATCGGTTGATTAGATTTTGAGTGACATTCTCCGGCGCGCGAAAAAATACGTTTTGAGAAAAACGCGTTTAAAGTTTTTGGTCTACAAAAGTTGTGTTCCGAGTTACTTACAGCTTTCAAAGCTCAGTTTACGATGCCAGGGCCGTACATCAAGTCTTCCTCTTCCATAAAAGCACTCAATTGTGCTGCACTTTTCTTTTTTGCAGCAGTCCTGGCCTCTTTTGAACTGCTTTTGCTTTGTCGATTTTGTCTGTGTACTCGCGCGTCATCGTACATGTCAGCGAATTTTTTGCACGCGGGACCAATTTGAAGTTCCAGGTCGTTCATAGCTCGAAGTACAATCTTATATCCGTCGTTAAATATACCTCCGGCCAAGTATGCAGCAATTTCAATGATTTTCCAACTACAGTTTAAATGCTTTGGAGCCAAACACCACACAGTTGCGTTCAAAGATTCGTTTGCGTTTTGAGTAAAGGCGCATCGCTCCAATAAATCATCCCGAGATAAGTCTTGATAAATCGGTAAAATGTGCTTCTGTACATTTTCGTGGAGTGGTACTGGATGAGTGAAAATTGAATTATTGGCTTGTGCAGCGTTATATGCGCACCACGAGTCGACGCCGGTAGGACAGAAGTGATGCTGTGGCTGTCTATCCGTTGAAATCAAATGGTAGTACGTGGCCATTATTGCTTTCTTCATGTCTTCTTTCGAGTGTGAATTTCTGCAAATCGCCAAACCGTAATATTTAGTCAATTTTTTAATTAAAGCATTCGTAAGCTTTCCTTTACCACCAAGTTTAGCGGTTTTTTTAACATTTCTTAGACGTGTTCCCATTCGTTTTTCGATGTGACCTACGCACTCACTTTTGATCACTGTTTCGTCTTCATAAGGTTGAGCATCCAAAATATATTTAAATGTTTTACTGTCGTCGTCTCCGGTAATATAATTGGTGTAACGTATTCCGTAACGTTCCTCAGAACAGTTAAACATTTCAAGCACAGCGTCAACTTCCATTTTACCGGGAGATCCTGTATGATTTATTGGGCAAGTTTCTTGATGTTCTTTATATTTCGGATCGTCAGTGTGGTGCCGAAAGTAAGTATGTATACATGCTTGACAATAGCTACTTTTCACTACTAAATCAATCACTTTTTCTGAGTAATAAGCTATAAGAGTCGTCACTCCGTACAAAGACGAAAATACACGTTTCTTCCATGATCCGTCGCCACTAACCGTGAATTTTAATAATGGTTTTTTATTTTTTTCATTTTTTTTTCTCAGCCTCCACTGCATGTGCGCAACTCAAATCAAAATGTTTTTTGATAGACGTATACATGTGTTCTATTATAAAGGCATACGCTTGTCTGCTAATTCCACTGCCTAAATCCATCACACCGCAAAAAATGTTTATACCTTCTCGAGCAACGCCAAGTAAGCGCATTGTAAAGACTATACGTCTATTTATTTCAAATCCACTTAATATCTTCGGTCCAGAATCAATCAATGTGGTTCCACATCTACACCTCACTGAAATTCTGAAACCAAGTCCTTTGTCTCCTGATTGTCCAAATTTAATTTTTTGTCTGCACACCTTACATACAAGCAAATCATATCTTTGGTCCAGAATCAATCAATGTGGTTCCACATCTACACCTCACTGAAATTCTGAAACCAAGTCCTTTGTCTCCTGATTGTCCAAATTTAATTTTTTGTCTGCACACCTTACATACAAGCAAATCAGCGAGAGCAGAAAAAACACTTATGAATTCAATTATTCGATAGCATATAGATGGATTTATAATAATAACGTCTGCCGACGCCTTCAATTTCTTAGCAGATCTGCTAACTTCCTCGTTTGATTCCTCCTCGACTTCCGCGTTCGAATCACTCGTAAACTGGTTGCCCATAAATCGCCGAAAACGAGGCTGGTTAGGACGAAAGTTTGGTGTTTCATTCTACACTTGCGATTATTCATTTTTACAAATAATTCGACACAGAAACGATTATGAACGTTACGAACGACCACGTGGAAACAAACGATATACCAGTGTCGCCGAGTTTCTGCTAAAGGTCCTTGAGAAGTCATCACTTTGATGATTTCTCAAGGACCTTTAGTGTTGTGTTTTGGCTTTAATACTTCGGGAATATGTTCTTCAGATAGTAAATAAATTTTTTAAGCAAAACAAAAAATGCAAAAAAATTTCATAATTCATGAGTCTCCTCCCTTAATTCCGGGAAGCATTTTTTTTACTGGTTCGGAGGGTCATGGGTAGTCTAAAACCGGATTTTCGGGATTTTAACTCCGGAGCGTTAGCCGCCATTTTGATTAGAAGGGTGATTTTGTAAATATC